TAAGAGTGAGAGAGAGCGAGAGAGAGAGAGAGTAAGAGTGAGAGAGAACCACTTATCCATTGAATGGGTCGTTGGTTCGACTGCAGACAGAAGAAGTCCTCGATTTGTACGGGCGAAGGATCGCAGGATACGAACGAGAAGGAAGGAAGCACTACAGAGAAGGTGTGTGCGCGCGCGCGCGTGTGTTATAAGAAAAATCCCGGTGTGCGTGAGCCGCGACGACGACCCTGAGAGAGCGGCAATGTCGAGGGGACTCACGACTTCACGGCCCAAGGTCATCGCGCACGCGCTAGTCCCGGATCCCTCCGAATTATAGCCGAATATTTGCCGCGACTTTTGATGCAAAATCAGACGCAGTAAGAGTGGGAGAGAGGGAGGAGGGAGCGAGCGAGGTCAACCGCGGCGACACCTTCGACGCCCCTTATTTAGCCTTGCGATTTTAGCGCGCGAATATACAAATCGGCCGAGTTGCGATCGACGCTCGTTGTTTCACGACTGCCAATTCGCCCGGTTAAATGGCCATTCTCGCTGCTTAAACAAAAGTCGAATGAATAACAATGGTATGGGAAAAGTAAAGGCAATTTGGACTTTCTGTATTTACGTTTTGTCATATGGTCCGCTCGTCAAATTAGCACGTAATGGACAATATGATCGTCTCGTAATAATATAATTGTCATTGGCAAGTCTGTGCTAACATTAATCTCTCCCGGATAATGGCTTATTCGCGATTAATGCGAGTTCGATTGAAAATTCACTTTTCATCGGCTCCAAATAAAGAAAAAAAGAAAAAGAATTTAAAAAGAAAAAAACGAAGCAATTGTTTAAAAACGTCGAGTGAAACGTATTACAAAATAACTTTGATAAAATGTATTCAGCCACTTAGGAGGATGCCGTAATGATACTTAATTTACCATATTACCATGTATATTCTAATTTTACATTTCTTTCATCCGAGACTCATTCAAATTAGATGCAATTTTGCAAAATAACAAAATAATAGCTGATTAAGTTAGAATTGCCTTCGTAATCGAGAATGCATGTCGGACAAACAGAAGGAACAAAAAAGTGCAATTATTTTCAATATACATATACATATACATTATATATACATATATATAGTCAACCGATTCGAACGCTCAATCCGTCAACTTTTATTTCACAATGTAACGAGGTTCTTAAAATATACAGTTACGAAGTGTTATAAACTAACAATCGTATTATTTCATTGTATTCTTTAATAAGCAAGAAATTTTCAGTTTTAAATAATTTATTTAGTGCAGAAATAACTTTAAATTTTTTTCCCCGTTTTCTTTTTCCTTTAAAACGTTAAAAATTTGATTTGTTTTAAGGTTTGAAAGGAACAGTAGCCGAAGAATATGGATAATAAATTTAATATAATTTCTATCGACTATTTTGTAATTTCATGATTATTTCAATCAAATTCTATTCCTAATTCCTCAAGCTAATTCCTCGAGCTATAAGAATATCCATATTTGTTTTATCGTCATAAATGATTGAGCATGAAAAATGTTTATCGCATTGAATTCTAACCAATATCGAGCGTACTTAAATGAAACGTAATTTTATTACGTGTCGGTAAGTTAAACAATCATTATCATTATAACTTTAACATAAACAATTGTGTTCAATATTAAAAATAAAAAGCCTCTGAATTGTCTAGTCTAAAGTGATGAAAAAACAATTAAAAATAATTCTAAGTTTGTAACAAAAATATTATTAACAAGCCCTATATATACATACATACATACATACACACATACATACATACACACACACATACATACATATACAAGACATAACATATATAAAAAAATATCTCGTTGTAGTTTTATTTTATCGACATGTTGCATTAAGAGTACATTGCGGAAATTTATCAGATAGACAAATTTTAGTAAGCCTTGATTTAAATACAATTTATCTCAATGTATTGATTAAGTTATAAAGATACTTTTTTATTAGAATTTGACCTAATAAGGTCAAAGCATTAAATTAATCAAATACATCGCTTTTTAGCTTAATGTTTGTTAGTTCGGAAAAAAAAATTATTCAATAAGAATTGCTTTTTCATGTTCTTTAGTAGTTAGTAAATAGTGAAACTGTTGGAAAATCATAAAACATCCTAATAATTAATTTAATACTTCCTAAGTAAAAATGTTTTTATATCGTAATTGATGAAAAGAGAGAGAGGGGGAGAGAGAGAGAGAGAGAGAGAGAGAGAGAGAGAGTGAGAGAGAGAGAGGAATTATCGCGATTCGGTATAAAAGAAATCGATCATCCAAAGTGGTCTATTTTTCTTTCCCTCCTTTTTTTTTTTTATTATTTAATGACTGTCTGAATTACGCTTATACATTATCAATGTGCTATAATCAGCGAAACTTTTATAGAGTCAAATGTATATAAAAAAATAAAAATAATAATAATAATAATAATCAACATAGAAACGAAAAAGAAAAAGAAAAGAACTTTATTCTAATCTTGAATACGACTTTTAATTTTTCTTCTTAATAATTTGTTGTATTGTGGTTATTTATATATGTAAGATAAAAGGAACGAGAGAGCGAAGCTTAAAACTTCGGCAGTTTGTCCTTCAGACATTGCCCTACTCGAGCAGTTAGCAACAGCTTTCTATCTAGCTCTTTTTCTTCTTCAGCTCTATCTTATTTCTCCGCGCCACCTCCCTTCTCTCTCCCTCACCCCCTCGC